ACTCACAGTATTACATGACTCCCTGAATACTCCAGTGGCCCCTGAGCACCTCTAGGTCTGTCTGTTCCCCGCAATAGTACAAGCAATACTAATAACTGGGCATTATTTGAACCTGCTGAATTTTTCGGTAATCTGTTACATGGTAATAGAACCCTAATGCAGATATCATTTTGTTTTTATGATTGGTTTTATTTTTAGAGGCTTTTTATTATAATACTGCCTCAAGCTAACTTCCCTATCTTCCTATTCCCCAAAGATAAACACTGTCAAGTGTCTCCTTTCTCTTTCCAAAAATTCCCTATGAATATGCATAAATACACAAGTGTGCATGCATGTGGTTACACTCTAAAATATAAGCAAGACACACATAAAATGACATGTATTTTTCACTTGATTATGTATCTTCGGCAACTCTGATGCCAGAATGTGAAAGCCTTTCTCATTCCTTATTCTCTGTATCAACCAAGCAGCTCTAGATCATATGCTGAATCACTATCTACTAAACCAGTCTCTTACTGAAGGACGTGTCAAATAAAGTGGTCACAATTTGCCTTTCCATTGGCTAGTTACAAGCACTGCTACACTTACGATTTTCTGCTATTCTGTGAAAATGACAGATAAATTCCTAGAGATGGGGTTGCTGGGTCAAAGAGAAAATAGTGAAATTTTAATACTGCAAACCACTACCTAAAATGATTGTATCAATTCATGTGACCACAGATGCCATATGAAAGAACCACTTCCCAATTACCTTGTAAGCTTGGAATTTCATCGATTACTTGAAACTTTTGATAATGTTCTGCTAAATAATACTGTTCATCATCATGGTTCACGGTTCTCTTACAATTACAATGAATCATCATTTTGCAATGTTTTGGGTTTTCTTTTTCAGCTATTTCAGTTTTACCATTTCTGTTTCCTGCCATTTATTCCTATTGCCTACTTTCTCCTAGATACTAGACCGCAGTCATATAATCTACATGAACTCTGTATATTACAATAAGACGTGTCATTTATTAGGATAAAAATATCTTTCATACTGGGACTGAAGAGATAGTATGGGAGTTAAGGCGCTTGCCTTTCATGCAGTCACTCAGGCTCCCTGGAACACCAGACCAGGAGTGATGTCAGAGGACAGGACCAGGAGTAAGGCCTGGGTACTGCTGGATGTGGCCCCCAAAACAAACTGTTTCATACTTTTGATTCTGGTTATGACACCAAAAGTTTGATTTCTGGAGCAACACACCTGTCTTTTCCTTTGGGCATCTGAGTTTGCGCTTACCATCTTGCTGGCACTGAAAGTCTGTGATTGATCCTCTACCTTTATTTCCTCCCCTTTGGGACTGCTCTATTCACCTTTCTTTCAGGAATCTCCTGGCGCTCCACAAATACTACACTGTTTGTGAAGATAAGCTCCCAAACACAAACACAACCAAGTCTGTTCTGTCATTCCTGCCCCTAAACTTGGCAGGCATGAATTCATGTCAGCGATGAGCAGCCTGAACCACACCATTGACAGAAAAACAGAAAGTGCAATTTTCTCTGTGTGGTCACTAAGCACTGAGAGAAGGCTGCTTCCCTTTCTCCTGTTTTCCACAGAAATATTTAGGAACCATCATCAGCCTTCTACATTAATGGCTACCGGATTTACACACACAAGAGTGGGGAACTTTTGGAAGGAACAGGGAAGAAGAGTGGTGAGTGAGAAGTGAGTTCCCTCTTCTTGGGGAAGGCTTGAGGAAGGCATCCCTTATTCACTAGAGTTTCTTTTTATTTTTTTTTAATTGTTTGGTGTTGGGACCACACCCAGTGTGTTCTAGGCTCACTTGCAACTATGTTCACGGGTCACTTCTGGTTGTGCTTGGGGCACTGTATGTGGTGCCTGGAATGAACGAAGGCTGGTTGTGTCAAGGCAAATGCCTTAATCCCCATCCTGTATGTCTCTGACCCCAGGATTTTTCTTCTTTTATGGAAGTTAACTCCTTACTTCCTAATAAGGGAACAACCTAGTAGTTTTGCCACGGAGGAAAATATACTCTCAGAGTTTGAATTCCAGGCCTTTCTGCCCACTCCTCTGGTTAAAAATGAAATTTTAGTTGAAAGGGACAAGAATTCATGCTAAGTGTACAGTGGAGAAAACAAAAATAATGAAAAGGATCATTAAAGTTTTAACTACATTTTCTCTAATCTCAAGATCAGAACTGAAGAAAATCACAGCAATAAAAGCCTAATCAACAGGCACATAAAAGTTGGAGCAATTACTAGAGGGCACTGCCGAGAGGAGTAGATTACATTGCTTAATCACCACTGAATTATAAGAAACAGAATTCATCATTCACTAGCACCTACTACAGAGTTCTCACACTCTACCAGAGGAAGAGAGATGGAAAAAAGGAGGGAACTCCAGTCCCCAAGTCACGTGTCTGGCGTATCTAGCTTTCCGGTAGCTTTTAGCATCACACAACGATGTAACGTCAATATTCAAAGTATAGACACAAATATAATCAACATCTAGATAATTATGCATGCATCACAGGCAGGAAATTTAGGACTGCCAACTTCTTAGGCCTCAACCCAGTAAGATCTCCCTCACACCGCCTCAGTGGCCATTTTTACCATGAACTTGGTTTAAAATGACTCTCCTTTCCTCTGAACTCCGAGTACACAGGCCCACCTACCTAGATACACACAGATATGCAGGGTGTCCCCAAACAAAACACTGCCTTGGAGCAGCAGCATGGCATCTGTACAGGATGGTTTAAGTCACATTCTTCGGCAACCTGCTTTTATTGCCCAACACCACGCTGGAGCTTTATCCATGCAGACCAGCCCAGTGGCACGTCATTGTTTTTGATGTGCATGGTGCTCTGTGTATTATTATGCCACAATTCAGGTATCTGTTTCCCAATGGATAGATATAGAAGCTGCTTCAAATGTTTAACTGCTCCCAACCAATCTGTTGTAAGCAGTCTCTAACACGCCTTTTCTTGTACATGTTTAAGAGTTTATTTAAACTGGCAGGGCACACTTTTCTCTGCCAAGGGCTATTTGGATATTTCTAACATCATTTTCACAGGCCATACAATACAGGCATATGAGCTGCAGGTAGCTGATGAAAAGAGCACATATTTTTCCCGACATGTACCAGGGCCACACTTTAAGAAAGAAACCAAGATTTCTTGGGTCTTATATAGCCCACAGGCTGGATGTGCTCACCCCTAGTTTAAGGTCTCACTTGGAAGAGGCACTTAGGGACCTGACGTCATAAACCTCATCTCCTGAATTCTCATTGTCCCTATACAATTTCATAATCACTAGTATCATAATTAAATCATATTATCATTCACTCTTTCTGTTATTAACCCCTGTGAACAAAATATTATTTCATTTAAGGAGATAGTACCTCCTTTCTCTCTCTCCCCAACTCTTCTCCTCAGACTTGTAGCAGATAATTTAAGAACCACTTTGAGCTCAATGACTGGCTTTCTAGGAGAAAGAGACAGCCCCCAACTTTGAGATATGAAGTCAACGTAATCTGAAAGCTTTTCAGCATTAGAGTTTTCCTAAGAGTACGATGGAGGTAGGCATCATCACTCATCCTTTCAACTCTATCCTTCACAGTTCTCAAGATCTCTTCCTAAAAATCCTCAAATCTCCTAAGAGTCATTCAAAACCAAAACTCGAGTCAGTCCGCTGACTATCATCTCTGTTCTCTTCCACAAGCAAACTCACACATCCCACACTCTGGCCACACGTTGGGAATTCCCCGTCTCTCCCTGTTTCTACTCGCCAAAGTCTTGCTTATCTTTCAACATCTTGAGCATGTAGCAACTTAAACTCTCCCAGATTTTCCTGATGAAATTAACCTTCCTCTTATTTGCATCATGTCGAATAGAACTTTAACACACACACACACACACACACACACCCCAAAGTCACCTTCACAGCATCAGTTGAGTAGTATGGTTCTACTTTCCTCATAACTAATACTTTGAGGTCATATGCCTCATCTCTTGAATTTTCATTGTCCCTAAGCAGTCTGTGGATATAATAGGTAAGTTTTATGTTCCACCTCAAGATTAAGTTTTAGAGGCCTCACATATACTTAGGAAGACATATTCTAGAGCACTCACAGCAGCATTCCTTATAATGTATAATATATACACATTATATATATAATAAACAAGTTCAGTTTTAGGGAGAAAACGTGCTGAATATATTTGATCACGTTTAGTTTCCAGATTCAGCTTTTGGCATATTATTTTATGTGGAAGGAATCTGAGAAAAGTCAGGTACAGGTAAGACTTTCTGACCTTCCCTAGAAGCAGGTGATCAAAACCTCAGGTGAGAGGTTACCTCCCCAAACTTTAAGGAACATCCTTAACTCTGAAGAGGAGGGACTAAGAAGAAATGGGAATAAGCAGCTCTTGCTAAATTGCCCCATTCACTAGTTTTAACTCAGCTTTCCACAACTGCTCACTGTATCTATCAGAAAGGTATGCAGGCTGACCACTCTCTGTGGCCTTCATTTCTTTATGAAGACCCCCATGTCAGTAAAAGAGAAATTTGACACATCACATGTGTAGATTTTCCCATCACGTGGGTAGATTTTTTCCCCTGTTAAGCTATCTCAGTGGAGAGCTTAAAAGGGTATAGGAAAAGATATTTCTTCCCTGACAATTCTTAACATGAATCCTTTTCATATGAATGTCATGTCTCCACTTCCTAAAGACAATCCTACAGGAAAACATTGTACCAGCCACAGATTTAGAAACAGAGAAAAAATTAGATTTTCATTTTTGGGTCCTTTCTTAATTTTAGAGAAATGTTTCAATCCAAGCAAAGATTGAAGATAAGATTGAACTAACTTGTCAGAAAGAACCAAACAGTGATAATAGGAAAACCAAGATAAGGCAGCCACAGCTGAATTTTAAAGTACCTATGTTATTTACAAACCAAGTCAAAAGCAGCAAAACAAAACTCAAAACAAGGGGCCCTACCTGCATGAGCAGAGAGTGGCGAGTGTGGACGAGGCAATGCTGGAGACTGCCCATTGCCTATCAAGCTCTTCCGGTTGCTTGTCCGGCAACTGTCAGTGGAAAAGAAAAAACAGTTTGAAACAGAGAATTGACCATATACAAGCACACTGAATGCAGGAACAAGCTGGGTTGAACTGATCACTGATGCTATTGCTAAAATGTTTACAAGTTAATATTCACTCACTAATGTTCAAGGGTGGATGCTTGGTGAATTTCAGAAAACACAATGTATTCATATAGGACAACACCATCAATATTCCCCAACACCAGTGATGATCTCTCATCAAAAGCCTTCTTTCAGTTCTTTACTACAAATAGGTGACATGACACACAAACAGTGATAAATTTAGAATTCAAATGAGCAAACCACAGGTAGCATCTTTGTTGACATGAAATTTCTAATACAAAATTACATGCAATGAAGCGCAATGACATTAATCTTACAATGATGCACTAATTAAAAATCTAATTATTTAGACAAATTTCGTATCTGGGCTTTTTGTCAATAGAACAGTCAATGCTGAAGATAAATGTATTTCTCTGCTCATTCATTTTTCATTCTGAATGCTGCATTCAAATTCTCTATTAAGGTAAATATTTTAGGATCATGAAAACAGACTCTAGTTTGTATTAAAATAATAAGTCCTTTTTTTTTTTTTTTGCTTTTTTGGATCACATCTGGCGATGCACAGGGGTTACTCCTGGCTCATGCACTCAGGAATTACTCCTGGCGGTGCTCAGGGGACCATATGGGATGATGGGAATCGAACCCAGATTGGCCACGTGCAAGGCAAATGCCCTACCCACTGTGCTATCGCTCCAGCCCAATAAGTCTTACAGGCACACTCCCCACTGGTTTTAACTAGGTACTCAGTCAATAGAAATATACTGCCTCGTAAAGCACAGGGCAACTATTTTTTTCCTGTTTCTGCTGTAGAAGGCTGTAAGATGGCAAATTTGCTCCTAAAGTAACTTTCATAAGCCCCAAAGACTAAGATAAAAGCAAAACTGACTGGTGATAAAATATCTTGTTTTCGTTTGCCTTCCTTCAGCACAGATTGGTACTTCATTCTCTATTACCAATATGATAGTTAGGAAAAGATAATAAAAAACTGCAGGTTATCTCACTGAATTCGCTTATAATCTGTTTCAGGTATGGGCATTCCATCCTCCAACCCAGAGGCTGCCCTGACCCACCCATATTTGTCTATTGTAATGTCACCTTAATTCAGCATATCTCTTTGTTATAGCAAGTTCTTGAAACCGGACCTTTCACTTGACTTCTAAATTAGGTACAGCAGATAGAGTTGATACCCTCTAAAAATATCCGAAGGAAGCATTTACAAAGAATCAAATAATATATTTCAAAACCAAGTCTCATTTCGTTCAGCAGTACTGACTTGGGAGCCAATCCTCACTCTCAGGTATTTGCTGCTCATTATCATTTGTCAACATTCCCTTATTTATGATTTCTTAAGGTCAGGCTGCATCATTTTATTTTCCTTACCGGAGCGATCAACATCACCTAGCCTTATCCTGGAGTTTAATTAAGATCATGTTTACTCAGCCTTAAAAGAAGTTGTTGAATAAGAAGAGACCCTTGATACTTAATTATGAAGGCGGACTGTGATATTATCAAATCATCTATCAAGAACAGCATGAAACCGATTAAATTATAATCATTGAATCATAGAGCCTGATAACTTTAAAAAGATACTGTATAATACATTTAGCATTAATTCAAACTAACGTCTTTTTTCACTCCAATATAGGATTATTAAAGATATCAACTTGCTGATGTTAATAAATTACAAATGACAGATTTATACCCTGAAAAATCTCAGCTAACATATTAATTCAAAAAAAAAACTAAAACTACCACAAAAAATATTTATGTCATTTTTTATTTAGTATTTGACCTAAGGTATTCATGAGGTTTTCTTCATGGAGTAAATGATTAACACATATCCAAAGAAAATTAATAATGAATGTGTGTTAACAGAAATAATATTCTACAGAGTATCTTAATAAGGATATAGTAAAATATGCTGATGTGCTGAAAGCTAAAATTTAGAAAATATTTACAGAGGAAATGTTAAATTATTCCTAAGAAACATTAGAAGACTAGTTTGCTACATAACAAAGAAAATGAATGACCAGTAATTTCAGTTTAAAACTAAACACCAACAAAAATGGAAATCCTTTACAACATTATCAGTTATTTAAAGTCAATGTAAAATAGGACCAAGCTTTTTAAAATTTTAAAAGTGTGATTGAAGAAAAAAATTAATGTCTAACACCTAAGAATCAAAAAAAAAACCTTTTTGGTCAATATAAAAATGTTTACACTCATCCTGTTTGTCTGTTCTCTATAAACATTTTTAATCTCTACAAACAGATGCTGATCAACGCAATTTAGGGTAAATGAAAACAGAATATATGAACAAGTTAAAGGAAGTTAAAAACAAACTGCCTCAAAATCTGCAGCTTGCCATATTTTAGACACTGGAAAGTATGTGACATAAAACCTTAATCAGAGATATAACTTACAAATGCTAGTATCATAATACACTGGAGAACTGGATGTGTTTTTCCTTACTTCTATATGGTTCTTCATGAAATTAGAGATGGTACTGAAATTATAACACACTCGGAACATTCTTGAATTTTAATAACCAAGCAGGAAGCTGTTAGTCATAAAATTCTCCTTAGTATGGCAAAACCAGACTTTTAAAAATGTAGGACAAAGAAAATTTCCATTTCTACAAAAATTCTTGCAATAAAGTCTTGGCTTCACAAATGAATTTAACATTCTTAAGGGTAAAGGGGAATTTTGTACCTTCCTTGACCTCAAACACATCTAGATCACATTGTAGCTATATTAACACCATCAAAATCTGGGGACCATACTGAGACGCTGTTCTCATTTTTCAAGGAGGCTGAAGGTAGTTGCCAAGTCTCAATCCTACCTGCTCTGGGATCTGAGGAACACTTCATCATATGGTTCTCAGTACATTGTTCCCAGTAAAGAAATTTATCTATTTGGGGTTTTGAAGCCACACCCAGCATTGCTCCAGGGCTTGTCCCTGCTCAGCCTTTGGTGGTGGCTCTGGCAGTGCTAGAGTACCATACTGTAATGCCAGGTATTGGATAGGGGTTGGCCACATGCAAGGCTGGCAGCTTAATCCCTATACTATCTCTTAGGCCCTAATTCCCACTAAAGAAAGTCAAATTTGTGTTGACTTATACAGCACACAGTTTAAAAAAAGAAAAGGAAAGGAAGGAAGGAAGGAAGGAAGGAAGGAAGGAAGGAAGGAAGGAAGGAAGAAAGAAAGGAAAAGAAAACCTTTAGTAGGCTGAATATTTACTACCAGATTCCCCATGTTAATATTGACACTGGTGCAGAGCGCTGAGATCTCTTTTTCCATTATTTATTTATCCAGAGAGCATAGACTCCTTTTGCTGATGAAAGGAGAAGCTTATTACATCCAAGTGTGAGGCAAGCCCTCCAGAACCTGGTAGGTGCTCTACCCTCCTTTAACCCATTCAACAACAAAACTGCCCAAACATTTCCACTTGGGACAAAATCAAGACCCCTTCCCTTGTGTCAGTCAACAATATCACCTCTGCTCTACTTTTCCTCAAAGAAGTAAAATAGGGAGCATCCCATGAGGGAAACAGAGATAAAACTTCAAACAAATTTCCTAACTTGTTTAAAATGTATCCTCATCTAAGCATTGGCATTTGTAGATAGAGGGTTCTCTCCAGTTTGGGGCCTGACAGACACAGGTATTATGATTTCAAAACTGAAGCAAAACTAAAGAACAGCTATTATGAGCTCAAACATCAACTATTCAGTCCCAAATCTTTATTCCTGATGAAGAAATAAAAGCCATTTACCGTGTCCCACCAAAATGCCAAATAAAGGAATTATCTGGTTCCCACCCAGAACCCCCACACTCTCAATTCTGCAGGGGGAAGTCATCTGTGGATAACCTTACTATGTCTGTGGATAATATTCTCTGAATTTGGAAGTGATACGATGGCACCATTAAGATTACTCTGTGTGTGTGTGTGTGTGTGTGTGTGTGTGTGTGTTTGGAAGGGGACCATATCATATTGATACTCAGGAGTTACACTCACGAGTGACTCCTGGTGGTGCTCAGAGGATGCTGGGGATCAAACCCAAGTCAGCTGTGTACAAGCAATGTGCCTTACCCAGCTATACTATCTCTCTGGCCCTGACACCATTAAGATTCTTTAATTGGGGGCCAGAGTGAGAGTACAGTGGGGTAGGGTGGGCCTTGCACACGGCTGGCCTAAGTTTGGTTCCCGGGATCCCAAGTGGTCCCCCTGAACCCACCAGGAGTGATTCCTGAGCACAGTCAGCTGTAAGCCTTGAGCAAGGTATGCTCCCATCCCTGGCCCCTCAAAAAAGATTGCTTAATTGTTGAGCTGAAAAGATAGACAAGAGGTGAGACACTCGCCTGGCACGTGCCATGGCAGCTGTGACTATGGTTCAAATCTCCAGAACCTTAGGAGTCTCTCTGAGCACTGCTAGCAGTCGCTCCTGGGCACAGAGGCAAGAACAGTCTTTGAACACTGTCATTTTTAGTCCCCATACAAAACCAAAGAAACAGAAACAAGATTCTTTCCTTGTAAAATCTGAGTTGAGCCCGAGAAGGCAGCCACAGAGAGCTCGAGACCAAGGCAAAGAGGAGCAGCGGATGGGAACACCCAGGCCTTCCTTTGGATCTCATTCCTCTGATTCCTCCCTGGAATGAATGACCACAGACAGATGACTCTGACAGACACACAGCCACAAACGACAAACTGCTGCCCTGGGAGGAGAGAACACCAGGCGCCGGGAAGATCAGGGCGGCACCTGTGGGTGAGGAGGCCAGGCCGGGGTGGGGGCTGGGAGGTGGGGTGGGTAGGGCCAGAACCTGCTGGGCAGGAGAGCGGGGACACGTATAGGTGCAGAGGGGGTTACGAGGCCACCTGCAGGAAATGTTTTCCTTGTCCACAGGTTTCCTGGGCTCTGAGAAAC